AAATTTTATTAAATTAATAATTAATATAATTATTTTTAAATAATAATAATTATTTTTTAAGTTGTTAATTAAAAAAACACAGTTTATATATATAAAATATTTACTAAAGAACTGTAATTTTCATATTAATATTAATATAATTATGATGGTCGATTCTTAATAATTATAAAAATTATAACTATTTATATTATTAAAAATTTAATTCAGCAGAAAATGAATTCATTTTTTGTTAAATTAGAAAAAAAAAGAAAAAAAAAACTACTAATAATTAAATTTAGCAAAAAACGAATTCGTTTTTTGCTAAATTAAAAAAAAACTTTAAAGAAAGAAATTAAGAAGTAAGAAAATAAGCAAGACTATTATTTATTGATATATATACTATCAGATATATGATAGAGTATAGTGTATCATGTAAAAAGTACTTGACATAGCGATTGCGACTAGTTCATATGATGAGTTGATAGGTATTTTTCATAGATTTATTATGAGCAAAAAAGAAAATCAAAAATTAGATACAATAACGAATGATATTGAACATAATATTAAGAAATCTTGTTATTAGCAAATAAAGAGAATGACTACTTAAAAGAGCAAAAGTTGCGTTGAAATTAAAGATCAATGCCTTAAAAAAAGACAGCACTTATAAACTTCAGAAATTACTAAAAGACATGAAACCTAAGAGAAAGATATAGGAAAACATACAAAATTTGTAGAAATAAGGGACATAATAGGGCAACATGCAAATTAGGTGATAATTAGGAGTTCATAGAATAGTTTTATTATTTGCTGTTGACAATATGTATGCTATATATTATCTGCATTGTTAATTGAAAAAAATGCTATTTGCAATATTTTAGCAATTTTATATATTTGTTAGCAACGTTTTCAAACTATTTGAGATTAAGCTCGGGTAAGGATTACTGAGTATCCCGTATAAGCAACTTTTAATCAGATCATGGTCATGCTAACTAGGTAACTTGAATAAAAAAAATATGGCATTTATAATACGAATATCTTCTTATTTTTTTATAAACCAAATTTAGTAAAACTGAATTTGGTTTATGCTAAGTTTAGCAGGAAACGAATTCGTTTTATGCTAAACTTAGCATAAAATAAATTTGATTTATGCTAAACTTAGTATGAAATGAATTCAGTTTTATGCTAAGCTTAGCGTAAAGTAAATTTGGTTTATGCTAAGCTCTTAGTATGAAACGAATTCATTTATGTTAAACTTAGCATAAACCGAAATCGTTATCTGCTAAGAGCTTAGCATAAACCAAATTTATTTTATGCTAAGTTTAGCATAAAACGAATTTGTTTCCTGCTAAACTTAGTATAAAATGACTTTTGGTTAAAAGCTAAAATCTGATGAATGATTCATAAATCTAGTATTACTAGTTAAAAAAGTTTTACATATATAGTTTGGTTAAAGTAAAATACCAGAAACGGAGTACAAAGTATGTAGAGTATGGTTTACAGGCATCTGAAATGACGTGTCTCTTTTTTATTCGATTGGTTGTTCTATCTTGTGACTTCATTTTGTGATTTCTAGATTTTTAACTACAAAGCTTTTTGTCTATTGAAACATAATAAAAAAAAAAAAAAATATGAATTAAATGTTTGTGATCAGATAATTATCCTTTCTAGATTATTAAATAATGTTAATTTCTCTATTTATTATCTTGGCTTTTTACCTCGTCATATATTTATTAAATTATTCTTGATTTTACCTGTTTTTGTTCACTGTTCTGACCGTATCATTATATCATATAAATTTTCTTTAAAATTTATTCATATTGATGTAAATTTTCTAGCTTATTAATCTCACTTGTTTTGGATAAATCAGGCTTGTTGCTGTACCAGTTTATTATATTAAATAGAAAATTTTTGTATACAGTATCAAGTAGTTTGAACTGGTCTGCAAAATCTAGTACATATTCGTAATGATAATAATGTTATGATATATTTGTGCTATATTTAGCATACGTGCGTTATTTTTCTATATTGATACCTGTTATAATGACATAAGCAATCATCGTTATGTACGGTTGGACTAATATAGTACTAAGGTATTTTCTAATAAGAGTAATTATCTGTTTTATTAATGAATTATCTACTGGTGAATTACGTATATCGTGAAATTTTCTATTTTATAATTTATGATCTTGATTTAGATAAATGGGGCTTGTTGTTGTACCAGTTTACCTTATTAATATTGTATACGTACCTATGCCAAGTTGGTGACTTACAAATAATCTTGATTATGATAAATAGACTGTACGTACATTTACATATTTAATTATGGGTATAAAAATGTTTATTTGTTATAAATAATACAGTGCCGGTTATAATTAAGTTACTCCTCTTAATTTACAAAACTTAAAATAAATAGCAAGATAAATTTTTTTTATTTTAAAATATAGAGTAAATGCTACTATTTAATACTTAGTATAATTTCCATCTAATCTTATTAATGCTAAAACCCAATTCTCTAGACTTCTGACTAAATTTAAAGCAAACGAATCTGGAAGTTTGTTCCATTCATTTGTGATTGCCTGCTTCAATGAAATAACTGATCTAATTTTTTTTTTTGTATTTTAATTTTTAGGACTTGCAACACATTCTCTATCAGATTTTGATCTGGAGAATATGATGGCTATGGAAGTACCTTGATACTATTTTCTTACTTCCATTTTTTTGCTATAATTGAATAGTGCTTCAGATCATTGTCTTTTTAGAGGTACCAGTCTGTGCAATCTATACCATAAAACTCACACGCAGAGGTTATAAGACCCTTTTCATAAATTTTACATATATAGTCAGCATTTAGATTACGAGTAAAGGAAACTAACTTACCAAAGCCTAAGCCCGAAAAACAGCTCTAGACATGAACCTTCTGCGGATGCTTCACAGTTTGAAGTACTTTTCACCTTCTAATATGCTGTCAGGTTTTTTTTTTTTTGTATGAAATAGTTGAAAAGTACTTTTATCAGTAAAAATAACCTTGTTCCACTTAAACTTTTGATGTTTTATTGCCCATTCCAAGTGCTTTGCTCGATGCTTATTGCTAAGTAGTGGTTTTCGAATTGTGTTCATAAATTTGGCCCTAGATTCAACAAGACGACATTTAATTATACTTTTACTAATTTAAATATCTTGTTTTTCAAGTTTTTTTTTTTATTTCTGCACTCGTAACATAGGTTTGGCTTTCAGCCAACTTTGTAGTCTTTTTATCTTAGGTAGGAGTTGTGATATGATGGTGACCAGATCTTGGTTTATCAGTTAAATCCTTGTTTTGGTGAAATTTTTGAAGTACTTTAATAACAGCGGTCTTACTACAGCTAACATAAGTAGCTGTTTTTTCAAGACCAAACTTTGGTCCTAGGGGATGTTCATGAAGAAAGATGATTTCATATCGTTTGAAAAATGTGATTGTCATTTTTAGGGTGTAAAGTTCATTGATCATCTAACTTTATAAAAAGATATTATATGAGTTTATAAAAGTGTTAGTGACTATATGTTATGTTAATCTTTATTTTAAAAAAATTTGGGGCTTAGTTATATTATAATTTTGGAAAATACTAGGAGTAACTTAATTATGACCAGTACTGTATAATACTCCTCACGTTTTTCGAAGGCCTAGAATATAAAGTGCCCCAGATACTAAGGACAGATTAATTGCACTTGTAAATGTAAAATACCTGGGTATATAACTAATCAATTATAAATTTGCTAACTAAAATATGATGAGATTAATATAGTATAAATAATTTATTTTAAATATACCCATTGATAAATGTTTATTATATTTATCAGTTACATGAAATAAAATAGCAACAAAAGTAAATAATTTATTTTAAAAAAACTATATATATGCAAGAATGCTACATCTATACCATACTAATACTAATCTATCTGAATTGAAGTAATAATTTCCCCTGATTAAAATTAAAAATTCTCTTTTTTTTTTAGGTAATATTTTTTTTTTGATTTAGCAAAAAATGAGTTCATTTTTTGCTAAATCTAATTATATAATTACATAGATTGAATGTCTAAATAATACTATATATATATTTATCATCTATGATAGATTTTTTTCTCTATCAAAACCTGAGGTATTTTTTTAAATTTATTAATAATAATTTTTTTTTTTTTTTTATTAAATAAATATTTACTAATTTTTTTTTAGGTAATATTTTCTTCGATTTAGCAAAAAACGAGTTTGTTTTTTGCTAAATCTAATTACATAATTACGTAGATTGAATGTCTAAATAATACTATATATATATTTATCATATATGATAGATTTTTTTCTCTATCATATTCTTTTTCGTGAAACTCGACGTATTTTTTTAAATTTATTAATAATAAATTTTTTTTTTTTATTAAATAAATATTTACTAATTTTTTTTTAGGTAATATTTTCTTCGATTTAGCAAAAAATGAGTTCATTTTTTGCTAAATCTAATTATATAATTAGATTAAATATCTAAATATCGTTATGAAACTTTAAATAATTACTATATTTTTATTATAAAATAGAATTTTTTTTCTTTACTATATTCTCTCTAATAAAACTTCAAGGTATTTTTTTTTTAATTAATAATAATTTTATTTTTTGTTAGCAAAAAACGAATTCGTTTTTTGCTAAATATAGAAAATAATATTAATAATTTAAATTTTTTTTTTTTTTTTAACAAAAAAAAATAGAAATCATGGATGACTTAATATGAATTGCATACCTATTGCATTCTTACAATACTGACCGCTATATTTATGAAGTTTGATTTATTGAAAATGAAGTTAAAATCATATATTGTGATAACTCAAAGAAAAGTTTTGTGTTTCAAGAATTAAACAATATAGACCAATTTAAAAATAAATTAAAGATTTTGATGGATACAATAATTAAAGTAAACGAAAATCCAAGTCGTGATAATGAAGTCTTGAAAGTAAAATATGAAGAACTCTATTCTTTTTCTCATAAGTATATAATTTTAATAATTAATTTTTTAATATATTTATTAAATAATTTAATTTATTTATTTTAGGTAATAAATCAAATGATAATGAAGAAAGTAATAAGGCAGATAATAAAGAAGGTGAAGAAAGAGTTGAAGGTAGTGAAGAAGGAAATAACGAAGGTGATAAAAATAGTGAAGAAATTAAAGATTATAAAGAAGCTGATAAAGCAAGTGATGAAGATAGTGAAGAAAAAAGTGATGATGATGATGATGATAAGGAAGATGATAAAGAAGATAATAATAGAGATATTAAACGACTATGTAAATTATAATTAAAAAATTAATTAATTAATTAATTAATATACTTAACTTCAATTTTAATTAATTTTAGGTATAAGAGTATTCACATTGTCAAAAAGATCATCCAAATCTAAATTTACATATCCGGATATCATAAATCAAAGTATTATTTTAACATCTATTACATATAATGCAAGCATTGATAAAATTGAAATCAATCCAAGTAAAAAAACTGCAACTATCAAGAACAATCAAGGTAAAATTATATTAGAGCCAATTAATCTAATAGAAATTAGGAAATCTATTATGAAAATAGAATTTCCTAAATTTGAAAGAGTGTCTGAAAAAGAGCAAATTAATCAAGATCTATATCCAGTTCTTGGTTATTTTGTTAACTTTGAAAGTTCAAAAAAACATGATATATTAACTAGAAATAAATTAAAAATTTCCAAACTATATCATGAATTCTTAGCGTTTGAATCAGAATTATCAGTTATTGCTCCATTTTATGATTCAAACTCTAATATAAAAAAGAATGATTATTATAAAAGTGTTCTTGAATATTTAAAAGAACTTACTATTCTTCGTAGATCTTCAATCGTTCAATTTGATACGACACAAATAAGTGGAGCATTAACATTAAATATAGAAGACAATCAGAATTTAAACTCAGAATATAATCAGGACCTTTTAAATCAACTTATGCTCTTGAGATGTAAACCTCAAATCCCTCAAGAGCTTAGGGTTAGTTCTTTTTTAAAGAATAATTCTTTAGAACAATTAGATGCAATAAAAAAACAATTGGATACTTTTTTTGCATTAATGTCTACCTGCTATCAAACAATTTTTGATGTTAATAATTTAGCATATCAAATTGAAATATCACATAGAATGTCTTTGTGATTTCTATATAAATTTTATCTTGCTTATAATTATTTAAAGGAATGGACAATGAAATTCACAAGCCGTGATAAAGGAACAAAATCAGCAACTCAAGTAAGAGCTCTTCTTATTGGCAAAGAGTCTCCTTACAATATATTTAATGTTAAAGAAAAAAACAA